TTCAAGGCTTTCTCCTAAATAGTTAGATATACTTAACCCATTTAAGTATTACACATGTGGCATGGTTTTTTTCAGTCCCTTCACCCTTCTCTTGGTGCTTTTTAGATAGTCATCCTCCTGAAAGCATGGTGCCCAGAACTGGATACAGTGCCTCAAGCATAACCTATCAGAAGTTAAGGCCAAGAATCATATATTTTATCTCATGTTACATGAACTGCTATGAAGCTAGGTCTCCTCTAGTATCCACTCCTTAAAATATATACATTAAAGGAACAGTTGCCTACGGTGAAAAGTTCAACCACTATAGAAAGGTATGAAGTCGACAGTTTAAGTCTCTTGATTCATCCTTCAGAATCTATCAATAAGTTTCTTTCCAGAAACTTTCGGGAAATATAAACATCCTATCTATACATCACCACAAACTTATACTTATTTTACTCTATGTATTTTTGATTTCCACTGTTGTCATGAACATTGTTCCATACTGGTGCATAAACAGATATCTATTCTTTTTGACAACTTCACATTACTTATTTGAACTGATGTACCTTAGTTTATTCAGAACATCCTATGACCCTGAGAATTTTAGTCATTCCCAAGCTTTTGCCTAGAACAGTTCCAAGATGCACTTATATCTGCAAAATATTTTTAGGTATCAAATGTAACCTGCTGTTCCAGCCTTTTTCAATCTTTTTGGTTAACATTCTGTATATAAACAATTCAGGCTGTCATCTTTTTTTAAAGTTTATTTTTATGTTAAAAATATATGTTTGTAAATGTCAAAATTAACCAAGCCCTGACACCTGACAAGACTTACAAGAAAGGAAAATCACAGACCAATCTGTCTCATGAGCATAGATGTAAAAATCAAACAAAATATTTGCAAACCAAATCCAGCATTATATAAAAGGGATAACATACCATTACTAAGTAAGGTTTGTACCAGGAATGCAAGATCAGTTTAACATTAAAGAATCTACATTAACGAAATAAAAGAAAAAAATCAAGATTTTTTCAGTAGATGCAGGAAAAAGTACTTGGCGAAATTCAAGCGCACTCATGACACTCTTGGCAAAATAGGAATAAAAGAGATCTTCAATCTGATAAAAACATGAAACAGAAAAAACTTATAGCTAACATATTTTAATAGTGAAAAATCAGATGCTGTCCCCTGCTGTTGAGAGTAAGACAAGAATAACAACTCACACTACTTCTATTCAACATTAGGTTGAAGGTCCTAGCCAATACAACAAAGCAAAAAGAAATAAAAGGTAAAGACTGGAAAGAAGAAGTAAACTGTTGTTAATCATATATGAAATGATGGTGTACACAAGGTATCCCTAAGGCACTTGCAATAAAATAAAAATAAGAACTACTACTGAACTAACTGAATTTAATAAGATTACAGAATATAAAGTCAATATAAAAAAATAAAACGTATTTCTGTATACCAGCAATAAACTTAAAAATGAAATTAAAGTACTATTTACAATGACATTTCCACAAAATATTTAGGAATACATTTAACAAAAGATATACAAGACTTCTTCACTAAAATTACAAAACATTGCTGAGATAAATTTTAAATTTTAAAAGACCCAAATAACTGCAGAAACATACCATGTTCATGGATTGAAAGGTTCAATATTGTAAATTCTTCCCAAATCGACCTAAAAATTCAGTGCAATCCCAATAGCAATTCCAGCAGATTTTTTTTCTTAAAGAAAAATGGACAAGCTTAATATAAACTTTATAAAGAAAGGACCTGATAGCCAAAACAATCTTGGAAAAGACTGCAGGGCTTAACAATACTTAATTTCAAGACACCATAAAGCCACAATAATCAAGACAGTAGAGTATTGGCATAAGAAGAGACACAGATAAATGACATAAATAGATCATCCAGATCCATAGATAAACGGTAAATTGATTTTGACAAGGGCACACAGGTAATTCAATCAATAGGCAAAGATTTCTTGGAATACACAAAAAGTACCAATCATAAAAAAAAATTGATAAACTAGGCTTTGTCAAAATGAAACACTTGTTCTTTGAAAGATATCATTAAGAAAATGAAAGGGCAAGCTAAAGACTAAGAATAGTCACAATACATATATCTGAAAAAGAGTATATCCAGAATAAACAATTTTTACAATTCAATAATAAAGCAAAACAATCTAATTTTTAAATAAAAATATTTGTACAGATAGTTCACAAAATATGTGAATGGCCAATAAGCACATGAAAAGAAGTTCAACATTTTCAATCAGAAAAGTGCAAATCAAAACCACAGTGAGATATCAAAATAGACCCAACAGAATGGCTAAAATTAAAAACGCTGACAATACCAAGCTTTGTCAAGAATTCTTGTAAATTACTGGTGGGACTGTGAAACCCTGTCTCTACTAAAAAATACAAAAAAACTAGCCGGGCGAGGTGGCAGGTGCCTGTAGTCCCAGCTACTCGGGAGGCTGAGGCAAGAGAATGGCGTAAACCCAGGAGGCGGAGCTTGCAGTGAGCCGAGATCCGGCCACTGCACTCCAGCCTGGGCGACAGAGCGAGACTCCGTCTCAAAAAAAAAAAATTACTGGTGGGAGTGTAGGCATTTGCACAAGTGAAAATATGTTCACAAAAAGACTTGTAATTTCATGCTTATAGCAGCTTTATTCGTAAAATTCCTCAAATGGAAACAATTCAAACATTCATCAACAGGTGAACAGATAATCAAGTTGTAAGATAGGCATATGACAGAATACTACTAGGCACAAAAGGGCACAAGCTAGAGATGCATGCAACAACATGAGTGAATCTCCAAAACAAAGAAATAATGCACGCTGAAATTGTCTTTCTGAAGAAATTCCCCTCATTCTTCTGGATCCCAAGGTTCTCAAAGGCATAGCTGGCAACAGGCCCTGAAACGGCTTCCTCTGGACTACCCTACTAGTCTTGGTAGATTTCCTCTATCTTTGGCATTCCTTTTTTTCTTCCACGGTCTTCATTCACTGCTGTCCTTCTTGCCTATCTTGAATTATTCTATACTATTATGAGGACAACACAGGTTCTTCCATGTTGAAACTTCAGTTCTTTGCCTTGCTGGGCCAATACATATATTGAGCCGGATTCCATGCACACTGGTGTTCCAAGGTGCAACAATCTTCAAAACATTTGAGGAGTGTATTAGTCTGTTCTCACACTGCTGTAAAGGACTACCCAAGACTGGGTAATTTATAATGGAAAGAGGTTTAATTAACTCACAGTTCCACATGGCTGGGAAAGCCTCAGGAAACTTACAACCTTGGTGGAAGGCGAAACAAACACGTCCTTCTTCACATGATGGCAGGAAGAAGTGCTGAGCAAAAGGGGGAAAAGCCCCTTATAAAACCAACAGGTCTTGTGAGAACTCATTATCATGAGAACAGCAGCGTGGGGGTAACCACCCCCATGATTCAACTACCTCCCACTGGGTCCCTCCCACAACATGTGGGGATTATGGGAACTACAATTCAAGATGATATTTGGGTGGGGACACAGCCAAAACACATCAAGGAGGCACTCTAGAAATTGTGGCACAAATTCCTCAGTCTGTGACTTCCTAACCCAGCAGATGCTCCTCGAAACCTTATCAAATTGTTTCACTGGATAAGTGCTGGCTAAATGCTTGTTGAGAAAATTAAAAACATGTTCAGGCCACTGTCACAAGAATGAATAATTATTTGGAAAATACGTGTTGCTGTGGTCACAACCATGCCCCTGAAGTAACAGCCAGAGAAGAGGCTCCAGGAGCATCCTGTGGATGCCAGAGCAGGCTCACATGGCACTTGCAGGGTGGCTGGCTCAGGGCAGGTTGGGGGTCACCTTAGTCACTCCCTCTTCAAGGAAGTTCGCTGTCCTCTGCTCCTGAGGGTGCCACTGTCACGGAGTTTTCTTCCTTGAACCAAGCCATGGTAGCTACCTCTGGCCCTGCACAGCGACTCATGCTAATGAAGGGGGCAGTGAACAGGGTACAGGTCATAAGGACCATGACCCTCGGGGACCACAGGGCCAGGATGTCACTCTCAAAACCATGAAAATCAATGCCAAACACAACAGCAGATTATGCCAACAAAGACTTCTATGTACATGCAAATCTATTAATCAGTAAGGGCTAAGTCACTAAACTACAGCTTCTCATGATGCTCACCATTCATCCTTTGGGGAAACCAAAATGCTCACAACTGACCATGGTGTTCACTTAATATACTAGCTTAAATAATAATTAAAAAAAAAACTAGTACAGTATCACAAGTGAGAAGTGTTCCAGGAAGTGTTCTTCAACAATAACCTCAAGCATAAGGTATGAGGAAAAGTATATTGGCTTTGTGTAAGGCATGAATGATTGGGTGAAAGAAAAGAGTATACTGCATTCATTTGGTTAGTCTGAAAATGATGTTGCTAGAGAAGGCTATTTAATCAAGAAAAGTACCTCTGCAAGTTGCAGAGAACTGTACTTTCTGAACACAGCAGGAAAAATGCCCATATTTTTGCCCTGACATTCAGACACCTACTAAGAATGAGGAAAAGTAAGGTACCATCTATGTATCATATTGTAGCGAAAACAATCACAGGTTACAGAGCTAGAGAAGCCTGGGTTCAGGTTCATTAAGTTCTCTACGGATTGCTAATGGATAACCAGAGTTGAAATTTAATACTACATGAGGGAATCCAAGGGTCATAATCATACTTGACCCAAATGGCTCACACTAATGACTCAGATTAATAATGGAGAGTAACTGTTTTGTTTACAGTCAGCAGCTTATTATCTTGAAGTCAATCTCACAGACACAAACAAACACATTGACTTTACAAACTCTTTAAATAAAAGGTTCTGTATCCTGATCCTTAAGTATCCTGTAATAGTCTACAGTGAAAAGAAAATAATTCTGAGGAAAAATATCTCCCCATGATAAAAACCTGAAGAAAACAAAAAGCCATTTTTATAAAATTAACAATAAAAAAGAGTTAAAAAAGCAAGCTTCCACTTTATTAAAAAGCAAAAATCACCAACTCGTGTAAAATAATTTAACTCATAAAAAGGAGAATCAAACATTACTTCTTAAAATATCAGACACCATAAAATGTGCCTTTAGTCTTTTAAACAGTTTGCTTTTAGACTACCTCAGTATTAAACACCTAGCTCTTCTCAGAAAGCTGTTGCAAACCCAAGTATTGTTCTGACTGTACAGAAATCAATGATCCTCTTCTTTTGCAGAATAAAGATGTAACTCCCTTAAATGACATTCACCTTAATATTACCGTCTTAAATTCTGCTTCATTACCAGAAACAATGTTTTCAAGAACTGGATCTTTCTAAATCCATTTTTATTTTTACAACAACTTTACTATTTGATTATATTCATTGTAGAAAAATGTGAAGACACAGAAAGATTCAAAGAAAATAAAAATGATCCCAGTATCCCTCCCCTAAATACAATAACAAGATTATATATATATTTCTTTCTAGTTTTGTTGTATATTTACACAGCATTTAAAAGCAAAACTAGTACTATAAAATGCTACCGCATCCTTTTTTCATTTCATATATAGAGCAACTATGTCTTTTTAGGACATTAAAATATGCAAAAAGGATTTTCAGTTGGCTGATTCACAATCTAATTATAACTAAGACATAATTTGCCTCCAATTGCTGGGTATTCAGATTGTTTTAATTATTTGTTATTATAACTATCATTATTAAACACCCTTCTTTATATGTAATTCTTTGTATGTATCTCTGATACGGTTTTAAAGAGAAATTCCTAGATGTAGAGTTCCCAGCACAAAGTACATCAGTATTTTTAAGTCTTTTGATGCATTTTACCAAATCGCCCTCCAGAAATACTGTACCAATTTATAGTCACATCAATAAATAACCAAAGAGTCCCATTTCTTCCTCATATTCTTTGGCAGTATAGGAAAGTAGAGATTACCCTCCAACCTTTATTGTTGCAAATTTAATAGGGGGAGAAGATAATGGTGATTTTTTTTTCCATCTAAAATGTAATATTTTTTCCCACATGTTTACTGATCATTTGCTTTTCTTCTGTATTTTGAAGTTGTCCAAGTCATTGAGGAGTCTCTAATACACACAATGTCTTGTCTTTCTTACAACATGCTCTTTGACAGGCAAGGGCATGAAAGCTGCATGTCTTTCCCATATTTTTTTCAAGTTAAGCAGGAATTTCCAAAATGACTGGAATTAGAATGTCTTCTTTTCTCCTGGGCAGTCATGCTACTTTAATGTCTTGGTAATAAAACAGAAAACTGGGCCATATTCTGAAAGGAAGAAAGGAGGCAGTGATATTCACATGTAGGCGTAATTACTGAGATGTTTGTTAAAAAAAAACAGATTTTGATTTTCTAGATCAAAGTGAGGACTCAGGAAACATACACTTTAAATAAATTCTACAGATAATTTTCAAGTTCACTAACCAGATGTGGAACTTTAGGTACTCTAAACTCTTGGTTCCTCACCTCCCTTTCCTGTTAAGTGAGGTTAATAATGCTTATCTCAGAGCACTGTTCTGATAATCACTTACTGCCACACCAACCCCCGGCCTGGATTATTGTTTATGCAACCTCTATCCCTTATCCTTATCCCACTGTAAGAAATCATTGAAATTTTTATGTGTCTGTATCTCCAAACACCATAGGATCATCATCACAAGTCTTTAACTTTGCAAACCAGACCTTGACATATAGTAGGTGCTAAGTGTTTCTGAAATGACTTAGTGAGTGAATGAATGATATATATTTCAGTGCTTAGAGGACTAAAAATACTACCCCAGAATAAGGGATTATTAGTATGGTGTTCCTTAATGTTACAGAATGAAGGCCAAGATTCTCAGTTTTGTCTAGAGCAGGAATTCCTAATTTTCTCTCTCTCTCTCTCTCTCTATATATATATATTTATATCTATCTATCTATCTATCTATCTATCTATCTATCTATCTATCTATCTATCTATCTATCTATCTATCTATCTCATAACTCCCTTTGAAAATCTGATGAAAGTTACGTAAACTAAGCCTCTTTAAAAATGCATACAAATAAAACCACACAATTTCAGAAGCTCCAGGAAAGGAGAACACTGATTTCTACTCTCCAAGCATTTTTACTTAAAAATAAAGCTAAAACAGTAAATATATTACTTGAGAAATTAACTTCAAGCTTTTGAAAGACTATGGTCAAAGTGGGGTCAGTTGGGAGACTTAAATAAATGAACTTGGCTGGGCGCAGTGGCTCACGCCTGTAATCCCAGCACTTTGGGGGGCCGAAGTGGGTGGATCACGAGGTCAGGAGTTTGAGACCAGCCTGATCAACATGATGAAACCCCGTCTCTACTAAAAACACAAAAATTAGCTGGGCATGGTGGCGCGTGCCTGTAATCCTAGCTACTCAGGAGGCTGAAGCAGGAGAATCGCTTGAACCTGGGAGGCGGAGGTTGCAGTGAGCTGAGATCGTGCCACTGCACTCCAGCCTGGGTGACAGAATGAGACTCCGTCTCTAACAAACAAACAAGCAAACTTCTATGACATTTTGCTAATAATAGTACGAGTCACATTTCTGGCAAACCAACATGCGTTTTTTATGCAAGCTCCAGTTGTGCCACTTGACTGCACTCAAATGTATTTTTTCCCTTTTAATTCTAATAATAAGGGTTTCCTGCATCTCTATTATGATAAAACACTTCATGGGGGAAAGGGGATATCATTTATTCATTAAATAACATTTAGCTCCTAGGTATACAGTGTTGAAACCAATAGATTTGTTTCTTATTAGGAAAGATAAACTACAAATTCCAACATTCCTGACTGTCAGTCCTAACTGCTGAGAGACACCTTAGTTACAGTGGTGTGCTGGATCCTGTTCGTACCAGCTTGCAAGAGCTGACTGTGTGTATCACTTCTCAACTTGTCAGTGGCTTCACATTAGTAGTGTGAAATTGGCCGTACTGGAGCACTTGTACTATGTAAATCAGCAAATATTACAAATCAAGGGTCTGCCATGCCCAGTGATTGGCAGTCACTTACCACCATACAACGTCCTCATTATACTAAAACTGTGGCTCTCTTATTCCAGAGCTCCTAGGTGGTAATTCAGGTAGGGAGGGCTTAGATCAACCTTTGAAATCCTCTCTCCACCACCGCCAGAAGACCCGAAAGTACAGGTGTATTCTAGGAGACTTCGAGGTATGGTCCTCTTTGCATAGTAGGGGAATGCAATATCTGATCAGTTTGAGACAAGTCTTTCCCTATGTGGTTAAGAGTCACAAAGTGCCCAAACAAAAATCATGCAACTCTGAGTTTATCAGTTAGTTTAAATTATATTCTGAGAATTAATACTAGAGTTGGAAAGCTACCAATCTACAAACATCCCAGAGGTATCATTAATTACTGTTTAGTTTGATGCATGATTAACCTTAAGCAGATATTTTCTGGCACCATTTTGGTACTATTGTCAGAATTTTGGCTTTAAAGGATTGCCACAAATTTGAATGGATCTGCCAAAGAGAAAATAGCTTTGTCAACAATGTCAGCAATATGCAGAGAAAGCACTATCAGTCTTCTGAAGTAAGACTTAGGGATATTACAGAGCAGGATAATGTGAAAATCTGGTACACTAGATAATAAAACTCTCTCAATGGTCTTGCATTACCAGCCAGAAAATATGACTACTCAATTTCACAAGTGGTTAGTATGGTAGTAGATGTCACAAAAACTTGTTGAAAACATCTAGGGCATAAAATACATGAGGACCAAAGGTGAAATGCATGTAAGAAAAGAATAGAGAGTCTACAGACATGCCTGATTGTACATGGCTGACACTTACCTTCAGGTTATGGAGGGTTTCTGACCATTCTGTGGACCCTATCTGAGGTATAGTAGTCAGCAGTAAGCTTTTGGCTTTATTAGCATTTTCTTTCAGGGTCTTTAAGACCCGGTCCACCGAAACCTAGAGAAACAATAGCACTGGAGGTTACTAGAACTTAAAATTCCACTGCTTGTCATAAAACATTTTTCTGAGTTCCAGCCTTGCTATAGTCTAAATGTTTGTGTCCCCTCAATTTATCTGTTGAAACCTAATCCTCAATGTAGGAGATTTGGAGGTTGGGCACTTGGGAGGCAATTAGGTCATGAAGGCAGAGTCCTCGTGGATAGGATTAATGACCTTACAAAAGAGGCCCCAGTGCCATTCTTCGAGGGCCCCTTCCACTGTGTGAGGTTCCAGTAAGAAGATGGCTGTCTATGAGAAAGTGGGCTCTCACTAGACACCAAATGTGCCAGTCCCTTGATCTTGGACTTCTCAACTTCCAGAAATGTGAAAAATAAACTTCTGTTATTCAGAAGCCACCCATGTTATGGTATTTTGTTACAACAGTCCAGAGTAAGAAAAACATGACTTGTGAAGGCTTTTTATTCTACATTTAAACCTCTGAGTTCAAGTTCTGCATTTATCAAGATGGTCTTAGTCCTAGGAGACCTAGGGAGGTCCCGGAGAAACTCAGTGACATCTCTGAAAAGCACTGATGAATTTTGATATGATTTGGATCTGTGTCCTCACCAAATCTTATGTCGAACTGTTGGAGGTGGGGCCTGGTGGGAGGCGGTTGGATCATGGGGTTGGATTTCTCATGGTTTAGCAGCATCCTCAGGTGCTGTTCTACTGACAGTGGGTTCTTGTGAGATCTGATTGTTGAAAAGTGTACAGCACCTCTCCCCTCTCTCTCTCTCTCTTGCTCTTGCTCCCACCATGTGAGATGCCTCACTCTCCTTTTGCCTTCCACCATGATTGGAAGTTTCCTGAGGGCTCCCAAGAAGCTGAGCAGATGCCACCATCACACTTCCCGTACAGCCTGTAGAACCATAAGCCAATTAAACCTATTTTCTTTATAAATTACCCAGTTTTAGGTATTTCTCCATAGCAATGTGATAACAGACTAATACAGATTTCAATATGGTATCTGAGAAAATATCTCAGATGTATAATGGGTTAGTATGGTCTAGAAAGATGTGGCTGTTCTCTTCATGTCCACAGTTGAATGGATTACAATGTTAAAACTGTTGCTACACTGGATAATCCAACAGAAGTATGTTTCTCCTTAGAAAATTATTCCAGCTAATAAAGAAAAATATTATGGAATTAAAATACCACCATTTTTATGGCTCCCAGTGAATTAATGGATTGGCTGCTAACATCACAAACAGAACCAAACAAACAAAATCCCAAATAAACCACTCATTATGTGCTTCCTGATGAAAAAATAAAATGCTACCTTAACACACCTGAATCTGATTAAATATCTAAATCTAGCTACCAATTTATAGACAACACAGAGGACAGAGAAGCCTATTAAACTACTCCAAGGAGACGATTTCAGCAATTCAGACTGTGGGAAACTCAACAGGACAAATGATCCGGTTCCTTCATAAAAGCTTGCAACCAAAAAAATAATTTAAGGCATTTAACAAGAAATTTAAATTTTGGCTGGGTATATTAAAGAATTATTATTGGAGAATGAAAATGATAATGTGCTCATGTTAGATACCTCCTGAAGTGTTTATGGATAAAATTATTGATGGGAGCAATAATCATGTTGGTTGTAAGTTAATATAATGGTTGAAGCTAGATGCTGAATTCATGGAAGCTCGTGCTATTGGCTACTTCTGTATATGACTAAAATAGCTTCATAAGAAAAAGTTGAAGAAAGTGAATATAAAATTACCATCAAAGATAGAGTACTTGACATGCCTTCCTACGCTTCGAAGAAATCCAACATTCAGGGACACAAGGATTACACCTTTCTATTTCCTTAAGTATAGTCCAGACCCTACCCAGCAACACCAAGATGTGTGTAGGAAAAAATGATGAAGACTGCAGCAGAGGGGAGTCTGCACCACTATGGGAACACAAAGCAGTGACAGGCTGGGTATCTGCCAGGTACATGTAAATGATGTATTTTAAGCTGAGTCTTTGGATGCAGAGACATGAAGCATCCAAGAAATTTGCCTTGTATTTACTTATTTCCTTATATATTTTTCCTGTGACTGGTTATTTCTGTATAGATACTGACCTCCCTTTTCTTTGTTCCAGCTGTTGGGCTTCACCCAAAACATCCTTTCCACAATAAACCCTCTGTTCAAGGTGCAGTTCAAATGCTTTTCCCCGATACTACCCACCTCTCAAGCCCCCCTACTCCATCAGAGTCACCGTCTGATGACCACCCTCTTATGAGCCAGCATTATACCAGTTGTTTTACATATATCATTTGGTTTAATTCTTCCAGTAATCCTTCAAGGTCTAACTGACTAAACAATGACTAAACAACCTCCACTCCTCACCCAGAGCCCTGGCTTCATTCTACAGAAGAGTAAACAAGTGAAATAACTCGCCCAATGTGACAAGCAAATGGAGCAACTAGAATCTGAAGATGGGTTTAGAAAACTCCAAATCCTTCTTGCCACGCCAGGCTGCACATCTGCACAAAGCACAACGATACACACGATTGGCTGAAATAATGCCATCTTTATGTGGGCCCTCCTTGTGGCATTTAACACTGTCTTCAAGCCTTTCCACTTACAGAGCTTAATTTCTCTGCTTTTCAAAAGTAGCTCCAGCTGACTATTTCCCCAACCTCCTTTGGCTACTAAAGGAAATCACTGCTGGTTCTACAAAGGAGGAGACATATGTTATTAGACTGAGCAGAAAGCCACAGGCAGGAAGCAAGCCGCTCTCAGGGTGTGGCAGGGGCTGGAGTTTCCTATTAATTGGAAGCAGCTTCTTGACATTAGGAGGCTGAGTTGTTCCTTAGGTTACCAAAGCTGCCAAATAAGATACTATGTTGTGACTTAATGTAAGAATTTGCAAATCTCTTACATAAAAGGCATCCTAGTACTAAGAAAACAGTCTATTACACTGAGGAGTCATCATAAGGAATTCATGAAAAACAAAGAACCTGTGTTCATCTACGACCCAAAATACTGTACACATGGATGGACAGATGGCAAAAAGATCTAACCCCATTTTACGTGAAATTAGATAGTAAAACAAACAACTCTCTAAAACAGTGGTACAATATTAGTCCTCTCTGGAGACGTCACTTACCCTAAATCTGCTCAGAAAGGTCACCCCTAAATTTTTTCCCTACTTCAAAAGTGACTGCAGTTTTGTCCCTTTCTTTATCTTAAAATGAGATAAATGACAGGACAAATGATCTAGTTTCTTCAAGTAATACAAGGAATAAAAAGAGAAAGAGGTGAAAATCAGATTAAAAGAGACAAGAGGTATATCATTAAAATACAATGTATGGATTGTAAGGGATTCTGATTTGATCAAATTGTTAAAAATTATGAGACTGAAGGAAAAAGGAATAGTCTGAATAGTTGATTATATTAAGAAATTAATATCACTATTTTTGTACAATGATGGCATGGTTATAACTTAATTTTAAAAAGACCTTTTAGGAAAATATTTACTTCACAATGAGGGCAGGGGAGAGGGAATTAGGTAGGGACATACCTATGACACAAGATTGGCCATGGCTAATTGTGGAACCTAAGTGATGGGTACCTGGAATTCATTATATTCCACCCTGTACTTACACAGATGTTTAAAGTTTTGTTTTGTTTTGGAAGCTGACATTGTTTCAGTGTCCTCAAATTCCAGCTGGATCCTGCTGCCTTCTCTGCCTGAACCCCTCACTGAACTTCCATCTGAAACCCTTACCATGGTCTATAAGGCCTGGCCTGGCTGTATTGCATCCCTCCTCTCTCTCCCTTCTCCCCGGTCTCCCTCCTTTCCACTCTACTCAATCATGCCCTTCTTGCCCATCACACTTAAAACAGGAAGGCTTCTCATACTTCAAATATTTAGTCTGGTCAACTCTATTCAGTTGACCTACTGTGCCCTTGTACCTCGCCATTCTATTTCTTTATAACCATTAGCTTTCTTATATTGGTTTGCTTAACTTCTATCTCCATTAACAGAATGTTGTCTCCTTAAGGACTTGTCTATTTGCTGTCACATTTCTATGCTGAACATAGTATCCAGCCACGGTAGGTTAAATAGATGGATGTGAACATACAGCCCTCTCATGAGGAAAGGGTTAAGTTACAGATTTTTTCCTTCTTGAAAACAAAAAGTAGCACAGCAGAAGAAATTGGCAATCAAAATACACCTTTATCCTTAAAATAAGGACCAGGTCATAGCATGATTCTCAACACATCTACATGCCTACAATGTACTATTCACTGTTAATCCTTGGGTAAAAGTGTCTCTTTCTTTTCTATGATCTTTGTTCTTACCTTCCAATAGGAACTATAGAAAATGTTGACAACTTAAAACCTTGTAGAAAGGCACTTTCTGAAACTAATGTAATAGAAACAAACAGTTAAGACATCCTCTTATTGGCACCCAGAAACCCATGCTATATGTGCTCAGAAGAGAATTCCACCTACTGCTTCCTCATGCTCCTTCCAGCAGTCATAATCTGTCGCCATGGCGATACTTGCGTAACAGATTCCAGCCTCCTTAGCAAGAACCACCTCTGGAACTGTGGTCATGTTGATTACATCCGCCCCCCAGGTGCGGAACATGAAGCTTTCTGCCCGGGAGCTAAAACGAGGTCCCTCGATTGTGACCATTGTCCCCTTGGAGTGGCACCGGAGTCCTAGCTTCTTAGCAGTCTCTATAAGAACCTAGAAAAGAAAAACCAGAAACTTCAAAACATACAAGCACATGCACAACTTAAGGCTGCATTTCCCCCCAGTGTTTAACAAGTTGATTTCTTAAAGACGATTTGTCACCATAATAAATGCCTACTATCTGCCAGGCTCTCAGAAACAACATAGAGGACCACAGAAGGGTGTTTCCTGGACCCTTTCTCATTTACATAATCCTCTTGTTTCCCCACCCTTTGCATATGGAAACTAATAGCTACACAAGTGAGCACCCAGCTCTTTCTACTCACCAGACATTTGTTTATATGCTTTAATCTCATCTGCTTCTTAACAACTTTAAGAGACTAAGCTGGTTTGAGAATACAGACTTGAGTCTTAACTTTCAACCTTGCAGGCTAAGCTAAGATGCCTCTCATTGCTCATCTTCTCAAACAGGTGTGTTGAGTTCTACTTCCAGGTTCCTGAAAAGTTAATTCTCATTACTTTTAAAAACACAGAATCTGAAGACTTCTGTAAAAGCTTTTTCTGGTTAGAAAGTGATTTCTCTTTTGCCTACTGCCTTTCCACAGACTTGTGCTGACTGTTTTTCTATCCAGGGATAAACATCTTGGAATTCCTTTAGCAGCAAGGTTAGGCATGGGTTTTTAGAAACATCATTGAAAAGTTTGATGATTTTCTCCAGTGTTTTATTTAATACTTCACATCTAATCTTCAAGTTATTAATTACCTTCATTTTTTCTTAGCTTATGCTTCAATATTCCCTTTAAATTAAAAAAAAGTCTTTTCAACTTAACTGTTAACTTACTGAAGCACTGTTGAAAAATCATCTCTGTATGCCTTAGTTTTCTCAAGTGTAAACTGAGAATAATGATATCACATAACTCAAATGTATGAGGAAGATGAAATGAACTAAGGTATACACAAGCAGAGAAGCATGCCAGGTACGCTGTATGCACTAAGCTGGTCTTCTAACAATTATTAATACTGGCAGCTTCTACACATATTTGGCTAACCTTCCTGGGATACTCTATAAATAAAGTGGAGTGACTCAAAGTCAAAGTCTCCAATCTGGGCAAAGTCTCACCTGCACGTGTGCTCATCACATAAACAAATTAACTTATTTCCTTAAAAAATAACTTACACTATGCCACTGCAGTGGGAAACAGAATTTTAACAAGAGTCTTGGCAACTCAAAATTTAGCAAGCTATGGACAATGAACAGTTGATGCTACATCATGTTTATCTTATAAATGCTGAAAATACAATTATGCTTAATTAACACTTTTCCCTAAAAAGTGTATGTTACAAATGCAAAAGTCTAAATCTCTACCCCACCCCCTTTTCCCCCCAAAATTAAGACATACCAAGCCCACTCCTGCTGGTTCAATAATGTCTTTAAAGATCCCGAATAACTGAGTTGTATGCCTTGGCTAAAGTTCAGAGTGCTTCTAGAGATGAATGGCTCTTGACAAGTCCTCATCGTCACTCTGGCACTTTGGGAGATAGGTACCATGCTTGTGAGGAGGAGGAAGAAATGGAGGCTATTAATATGTGTCAGCCACCTGAATGAGCATTTTGCACTCCTTTAAGAACAGCTAACACTATCTTAAGGTAGCAAAAAATATCAAATACAGGGTCAAGGTCCAGGTCTGAGGTTAAGATGATTTCATTTTCTTACTTCGTGTAATCACTGTGAACTACTAAAAAGACGGATGTGGTAGTGAAGCTACCACAACCCTCACCAAGGAACTAGCAGTATTAGATCACCAGCCTAAATAGATTTAATGTCAGGACTTTCATATTAACTCCTAAAATGAATAGAAGTAACACTGCTTTTGGAACACATATTTGTACATGGTACAAAACTTAAATAGTACAAGTAAAACCACTGTCCTTTCCCAAGGGAAACCACTATTACCAGGCTTTTTTTTCATTTCGATAGTTTTTGGGGAGCAGGTGGTTTATTGTGATATGTATAAGTTCTTTAGTAGTGACTTCTGGGATTTTGATGCACCTGTCACCCAAGAAATGTACATTGTACCCAATGTGTAGTCTTTTATCACTGATCCTCCTCTCCCACTTCCCCACGAGGCCCCAAAGTCCATTATATCATTTTTTTTTTTTTTTTGAGACGGAGTTTCACTCTGTTGCCCACGCTGGAGTGCATTAGCGCGATCTTGGCTCACTGCAACCTCCACCTCTCAGGTTCAAGCAGTTCTCTGCCTCAGCCTCCTGATTAGCTGGGATTACAGGTGCCCGCCACCACGGGCAGCTAATTTTATTTTATTTTTTTGTATTTTAGTAGAGACCCCTTTCACCATCTTGGCCAGGCTGGTCTTGAATTCCTGACCTCCTGAGCCACCCACCTCGGCCTCCCAAAGTGGTGGGATTACAGGCATGAGCCACCGCGTCCGGCCCCATTCGCACCCGGCCCCATTATATCATTCTTATGCCTTTGCATCCCCATAGCTTAGCTCCCACTTACAAATGAGAACATAATGATATTTGGTTTTCCATTCCCGAGTTACTTCACTGAGAATAATGGTCTCCAACTCCATCCAGGTTGCTGCAAATGCCATAATTTTGTTCCTTTTTTATGGCTAAGTGGTATTCCATTGTATTAGAGTTCTCTAGAGGGACATAACTAATAAAAGGGAGTTTATTAAGTATTAACTCATGTGATCACAAGGTCCCACAATGGGCCATTTGCAGGCTGAGGAGCAAGGAGAGCCAGTCCAAGTTCCAAAACGAAGAACTTGGAGTTTGATGTTGGAGGGCAGGAAGCATAAAGCATGGGAGAAAGATGTAGACTGGGGACTAGGCTAGTCTCTCTTTTAACATTCTTCTGCCTGCTTATATTCTAGCCATGCTGGCAGCTGATTAGATTGTGCCCACCAGATTAACGGTGGGTCTGCCCTTCCCAGCCCACTGACTCAAATGTTACTCTCCTTTGGCAACACCCTCACAGACACATCCAGGATCAATACTTTGTATCCTTCAATCCAATCAAGTTGACACTCGGTATTAACCATCACAAGTCTACATGAATCCATATACATCTCCTGAGATAATAATCTTCAAATAAAGACAATAAGGTCATAATTACACCTAACATAATACAACTATCCTTTGTGCAACTAGAAATGCACCAGACACCAATCCAAATACTACTACATAAAGTTAGCAATATTTAAATGTTGATGTGAAGTCAATAAATCTTATGTCATATGATAAAGGAGAAAGAAAATAAAATGAAGATATTTTCTTAGTACAATTGTATACATGCACAAGCGTGTGTTTAACAAGAGGAGGAGGAAATACTCATGACAATTACAGTCCTCATTTCCGTAGCTGGTCACAGGGTTGCAGCTGGTATCGATGACTACCTTCTTCTACTACCCATTCTGTATTCCCTTTGCCTTCAGCAAGCACCTCAGTAGGTTGTGGTTTTTTTCCTGGTGGAGTGACTGAAATCTTCATTCCTGAAGAAACTGGGTCATTTGTAGTCCTGCCTGGATTGCGCTGTTGTAGTTTCCCAATGACCTTAATTACAGGGCAGGGTAATACTAAGAGACACCCTAATGGATCTCCTGTATTCCATGCATACTCTTCTTTACCTCCATTGGGGATTAGTAGACTGATTTCATCTTGATAGTCCGGGTCAATCACTCCAGCCAGCACTGTAATTCCCTTCTTAGCCTGTTGACTTAAAGGTAGGAGGAGCCCAAAGTATCCAGGTGGCAAGGATGGAGGCTATGCATGGGCACAGCAACATGCCTTCAGGACCTGCTTGAGCCTAGTCATATATATATATATATATACCATTTTCATTTGATAACTGAATGCTGCTGTGCACAACCCACTTTATGGCTAGATGAGTGAGAAAGCCCCCAGTTCATGATAGGCAGTTCAGGTGGCATGGTGACTTGATGACCCATAGTCAAATGTTCACTTTCCACCAAAGTCCAGTAACAGGCCAAGGGCAGTCTCTCAAAAGGAGAGTAGTTATCTGCAGAAGACGGCAGGACCTTGCTCCAAAATCCTAGAGGGCCTCACTGTAATTCACCTATGGGGGTCTGCCAAAGGCTCCAAACAGCATCCCTATCTGCCACTGACACCTCAAGCACCATTGGATTTGCGGGGTCATACGGCCCAAATGGCACAACAGTTTGCACAGCAGCCTGGAACTGTTGCAGAGCCTTCTCCTGTTCTGGACCCACTCAAAATTGGCAGCCTTTTGGGTCACTCGATAGATGGGCCAGAGTAACACACTCAAATGAGGAATGTGTTGCCTCTAAAATCCAAATAGGCTCACTAGGCCTCTTTCTTGTGCCTCTTTCTTGGTTGTAGGAGGGGACAAATGTAGCAACTTATCCTTCACCTTAGAAGGAGTATCTCGACAGGCCCCACACCACTGGACCCCCTAGAAATTTTACTGAGGTAGAAAGTCTCTGAATTTTAGTCAGATTTATTTCCTGTCCTCTGGCATGTAAAGGCCTCACCAGTAAGTCCAGTGTGTTTGCTACTTCTTTCTCACTGGATCCAATCAGCATACTGTCATCAATGTAATGGACCATTGTGATATCCTGTGGAAGCAAAAAGCGATCAAGATCTCTCTGAATAAGATGATGACACAAAACTGGAGAGTTGATATACCCCTGAGGTAGGACAGTAAAGGTATACTGCTGGCCTTGCCAGATGAAGGCAAATTGCTTCTGGTGGGCCTTATGGACAGGAATGGAGGAAAAGGCATTTCCAAATCAAAGGCTACATACCAGGTACCAGAAGTGTTAATTTGCTCAAGTAATGAAACCACATCTGGTACAACAGCTGCAACTGGAGTCATCACTTGGTTAAGCTTATTATAATCCACTGTCACTCTCCCCAAGACCCATCTGTCTTCTGTATCGGCCAAATGGGAGAGCTAAATGGGGATGTGGTAGGAATCACCACCCCTGAGTTTTTCAAGTCCTTAATGGTGGTACTAATCTCTGCAATCCCTCCAGGGATGTGCTATT